CCTTGCTTTCCCGTCTCCTAGATAACGATGGGACCATGTCCTGTGTGTGACTTGCCTTCATTGGTCCTCACAGCAGGGACTCTCTTCTATTATGCTTAAATACTGCACCCAGCCAGGAGTTTCTGATATAGGGGACGAAAGATGACCGATAAAATCTCTTTTGATGCGTTTATTTTTATTTTTTCAAATGTGTGATCATCCACAAGCAATCCTGCACCTATTAACCCAAGAACTTTGTATTGTGGAGCCGTAGGGCAGGTTTGAGGCGTTGCTGCTGTTGAGGCATTCCTTGATGTCGCTCCTATCCACAGGAGACTCATCAATTCCATCACGTTCATTATTTGCCCATTTGCTTTGGCGTCTTGGTTGTTGGTCTCTTGGTTTTGATTTGCATGGTTGCTTTCTCTATTTCTCCTGTCTTTGGTGGTGGTTGTTCAGGGAAGAACAACCCTTGTTTTGGAACATCGCAAAAGACACTTCAGTCTCATGGATCAGGAAAAAAACACCACTTTTCCTACTGTATGCAATAATCTTGCTCAAAAATTTCTTGATCAACGTTTTTTTGGTACGAGGGATGTCGGAGTTAATAGTAATGCTGCGAATTCCAGTGTACTAGTGATTGTCAGTTTTTCTGGAAAGAGCTGCCAATTAGGATGAAAGGCAGGGTTTTTTTTGCAGAAGGGAAGAAGTCAGTCTGAAATGCTAGTGTTTGAAAGGTCTTTAATCCAATTAATAGGGATGCTTTTCATTTAAATTGGGCTTTTTCTTGGACAGGCACCACATCTCTTGTGTCTTGTAGAGGACTGAGCATTTCGGCAGTAGGTAAATAGTGTGTTTCAGAAGCCAGTGTAGGAGTGCATAGAGTCCCATAATGTACTGATCATTTTTTTCAGAGCCAAGGGGTTATTAAATAAATAAATAAATAGTTGTTTTTACACTGGTAGTTGTTAGCCCGATTAGTTTGGCTACTGCTGGGTCTTGGGCAACGTGGAAAGTTTGTTACGGACTAACTTCAGCCTGTCTCTTGCCCCTGTGTACTGCAAACTGAAGCTGGCACCTAGAAATGATGCGTTGAAGTTACAGATGGATACAGACTGCTTCCACTTAAGCTGGCTATTTATTTCTGCCAGTCTTCTGTAATAGAAAGGCAGCTGTGGTCACCTTGGAGAAAACCATGTGAAAACCTTCGAGAAAAGGGGAAAAGAAAGGTGTCGCATCTCTTGTGTTATTCCCATAGCAGTGCTTTGAAGCTGGCACCTAGAAATGATGCGTTGAAGTTACAGATGGATACAGACTGCTTCCACTTAAGCTGGCTATTTATTTCTGCCAGTCTTCTGTAATAGAAAGGCAGCTGTGGTCACCTTGGAGAAAACCATGTGAAAACCTTCGAGAAAAGGGGAAAAGAAAGGTGTCGCATCTCTTGTGTTATTCCCATAGCAGTGCTTGTTTAACGTTATTATCAAGATGTCGCATCTGTTGTGTTATTCCCATAGCAGTGCTTGTTTAACTATAAAGAAAAGCCTACCAAAAAAAGAACCAGGGGCTGGATATCCCATGGGATTTGCACTGGAAACGTATTGTTGGTGATTGACTCTTTTACGGAGCTGCAGAGGAAATAGTCCCTACTCTGATCCTTCCCGTGCAAGCAATGAGCTCTGTAGGGAACCTTTTACTGTGCAGGCTGCTGATTCACATCTAGCCTGGCTCAGGAGTGACGGAAAGGTGTTTACCACGTGATCTCAGGTCAGTCTGGCTAAAAATAAAGTGTTCTTATCAGTATAATATACGATAGGTACTTGCTGCAAGGACTTCCTGCTGAATGGTGTAGTGGAGCTGGGAGATGGCCTGAGTCTGGCTCGAGCACTTCTGTG